CTTTCACTTTCACTTTTATGAGAAAGGAGAATTCACTCTTTCAGCGCTGAAGCTACCAGGGAGAAGTGCAAAGTCTGGCAGACCACTGCTCAGATCGCAGGCAATGCAAAATCTCGCTGGGTACCGCCGTCACACCAACACTGAAGAGGACGCTCGTTCTCGAAGAGTCTTGAATCAGCTTTTAGGAGTGAAGAGGTTCTCTTGGCTCCGAAGCGAAAACATACTGCGGTTGCGTTCACTTCCTCCTTTTATACTCACGGAGTAGGGCGGAGTACGCTATGCAAATTTCCGCAGCCCCAAGGCATTGCATGCCATTGGCTCATGTTTAAATACTCGAAGAGGATTGGCTTTCTATGCGAAACCCCCAATCTCCGTCACTTCTGACGTAACTCGAAGTGACTACGAAAGGGAACAACAGTTCCCATCATTCTGCGTTCCTCCACGGCGTCATCAAGCAAAGCCGTTGTTGTTGTTTTGAATGTAGCGCCCTCTAGCGGCATAAAATCTTAGGTATTGTAGCTTTAAGGTGGACATAGTCGACATGTCGACTGATTGGGATCACGCTTAGAGAGCCTGTCATCTGCGAGTTTTATTAAAACAAGCCAATGGGAATTGCTGTTCATGATGACATCACAGACTTGCAGTTATTTCTTACTTTTTTTAGTTATTTTTTAAAATATATTTCTAACTACTCTTTCTGGTTTTTAAACACTCTACATATCTGGATTTCAATCACAGGCTCATTCACTGACATCTTCTGCATATCCTCTACAATTACTCCGCCATTCACTCCCATCACAGGTTTATTGCACTGAGCTTACTTCTGCAAATCAGCAACTTACTGTTCGTTTTCGTTGTAAAGTTTTCCAATCGCCCACACTATAATTATCGGGCATGGAATACCTGAAAGAGAGAAGATTGCAAATCACACTTCACGGACAGCAACTCCAGAAATGTGGAAATTTCTTGTGATTTTGTTTATGCAAGTGGAAAGAGATGCAACATGATACCTCAGAAAAAGTTTAGATTATAGACATGCATAATTTACATATACATATGTGTAAATTCCATTAACATTAATAAATAAATAAATACCATTGAGTTCGATTTGATGTTTAAAAGTTGAAATCAATTGCTTAAGTATCATTGCTTATGCAGTATACACGTTTAATTGCATATGACATATTACTATATAGCCATTAAGTGCATTAATACAGTAAAAAAATATATATATTTTTGTTATTAAAACTGTTGTTCTGTATTTTTGAACAGGGTATTAGTCCCTTGACTCCCTTCCTATTATGGGCATTAGTCAATACACACACAGCAGGTGTCATAATCATGCAGCTTTAATTCAACAGAGTAATTTCACATGTATTGTATTTAATTTGGATGTGGGTGAGTCGTTTGCTTTGTGATTAGTCCCCCACTAATTCGCTTGACTGATTCATGCCGATTGTTTGTGAATAGACAGCCATGAGTTTCTGCCGTGCTACAGAAACACGGTTATACTGCAAACGAGACGCTGTAAATGAGGTATTCATACAACATTCAATCTCATGCCTTGCAATATTGTGCACAGTTAATTGTTGTCGTTTTGGTTAGTTTGTTTCCTTGTGTCCTCAGAGATAGCAGCACTATATGCATCTTATTAAAGCTTAAAGGGGCGATGAACTGAGAAATCAAATTTTCCTTGAGCTTTTGACATATTCTGTAAGTTTCAGAACTGAAAACGTCCTTGTTAGTCCAGTAAAAGCTTTTATTGACACCAGGTTCAGCAAACTACTCGTTTTTCAAAGTGGGGAACTATGACGTCAAAACCCCACCCCCGCAGAAGAGTAACACCGTGGCCTGAAAAATGAAAAATTATTGCTCATAACTTCTTAACGGTTTGTCCAAAAATCATAAACTTGGTCTCGTTAGATTCAGGGCGTCATGGCAAGTCGACTGATTTCCAATTTTACCAGATCGGCCATTTTGGCTGTCGGCCATTTTGAATTATGTGCTAAAATGCTGTATTTTTTGAACACATGAACGAATTGACTTAAAACTTTTTAATAAATCTGCATATTTTAATGCGACTGGTCTGAAGGTTGTAAAAGGTCGATTTTGTAACTACGCCACCTATTGGTCAAAAGTGATAATCTATTTGATCACATTTTTAGTTAATTGCATGTGATTTTTCAACCATTTTGCCTAAATTCATCTTTAAATGTCTTCAGTTGCTCCTTGCTGTGGTTGGTCTGACACATGTTGGCATATTTTGTCATCTGATTGTGATTGGCCCCGGTCATTGCTGCTTGCAGCTATATTTCTTCTTCTTCTTCTTCTTCCGACTGGGTGTCCATAGCTAAATAACATAGATTCCTACCTCATGATGACAAACCGAATCGATCAACCGAGCAATACAGAATATTGTGCAGTGCTGGTTGTGGAAGACAGTTGCTGCATGAGCTTCCTCTGGATTCCTCTAGGACTGCATGGATAAACTTTATTTTTAATGACGTTCAGCTGATGAGGTAAAACGTCGTCTGTTCGCTTCATTTCACTGAGGATTGTTTTGTCAACAAGACTGGATTTGCAGAGCGATTAAGAGTAAAGATCGTGCTGTGCCGTCTATATTGGATCTGACAGGAATTGTGCAACACACGGACTCTGGGTCAAACATGTATGGGCGAATCCGGTCGCCATTTTACAACATTGGACGTTTTCAAAACAATTTCCCCCAAGCGCATCGACGGGTGAGTCGAAACTCATTATAATATGCAAAACTGTTCTCCACTCACAGCAGGGGGCGTTTACTTCCAAGTCTTCAGTGCGAAACGCCCATAAAAACCCAGCGTTTTTCAGCTAGGCTCAAAACTAGGGTAGAAAATAGCCTATTATTTATTCATTTTGATGTTTTTGAATGTAAAAACCAAGCGGACGTCATAAGTTGACCTCAGACAACAATATAATAAGATTTAAAAAGCCAGTTCATGACCCCTTTAAGACGGTTACGTTCACACACGGTTCAGTGACAACCGTATTCTATAACCGTACACGCTCTCGTACATTTTCTAAATGTCCTTGTCAATCCCACAAACTGGCAGTGTTGGCCTTTACTCTCACAGTAAATCAGCCATACACTAGTATAGTTTCCTTCTCGCTCTCTCACAGCTCTGAATGATCCTCCAGTCACACACACACAGACACGTTTAGCACGCCTGCAGATATTATGTGGTACACTGACTTCACAATAGTCTCTCCTGCAGTTTGAATACTTCGTAACTTTTAATTGTATTAGTGCCAAGTACTTGCAACTCACTATCCTGCGGTATTTCTCAAATCGCTCGTCTCCGACTGGGCCAAAATGCGGACGGCAGATGTCTTCACAAGAGCTGTAAATGATCCACATCGCTGCATTGCATTTCATTGGATGTATATTCAATTCAGAAGCGCTTTCATAATTCTTTAGTTTGTGTCTTTTATTTTTTATTTTATTTTATTATTTATTTTTTTAATAAGAAGATTATATAAACATTTAAATGGTGGCTGTCATAAAAACTTGCCAGATTTATTCAAATATGCATTAAATATTGAAGAACATTAAGATTATAATGCATATGTAATATGGTGTATATATTTAGCAAAATGCTCCTCTCTAGAGTTATTTTTTCTAGCTGACTAACGAGTTTATGTGGGTTTTCTGAGGTAAATATGATGATACATGACATTGATTACAAGCTGTTTAACTGACGTCTTTCCACGGTTGAAACGCTGATTGAGCGAATCAATGTGACATGATACGGATTTGGATAAGTTGTGCTCTATCTTTAACACACTTTCAGATGCTCATTCATGTTTATTTGGCGCTGTGACTGGTATTATAAACCCGGAAGAGAGATCAGCGCTGCTGCTTCTCTAGAGCGATCTCACGCCACAGCGCCAAAACACTATTTATGATTTTGAATTTCTAAAGAAAATGGATGTAATTTGAAAATTGAGACTTTGTTTCATATCAATAGTAACAAAGGACAAAGATTATTGCGATTTTTTTGGATGCGCGCAGCCGCGATACAATGATCCCATTCATTCAAATGAAACAGGATGACTAATCGATTCTTGAGATTTAAAAATCGATATCAGTTCGTAAAAACGAGAATCGATTAATATCGAGAAATCCATATTTATTACCCAGCCCTAATTATTACTGTATATATAAATATATGACTTACCTCAACCCCGTCCCTAAACCTAACCGTCACTGGGGTTAATGGCATTTATGACTGTTCCCTTACCATCCTAGGAAAAAAAAAGATCGCTCCCCAGATGTAGATCTACATTTTGCTTCATTTCGCGCGGACATTTGACGGTGTGTACAGACACGCGGAATCACTCGGACGTTAATGGCGTAGACATACACACATAGCCTACACGCGGATAGCTCAAAATGCGTAGAGATCAGTGATGCGCGGGTCAATGTAAAACAAACCGCAACCGACCGACGTTTTCAACTACCCGCCCGCAACTCGGACCGCAAAAAAAAGTAAAAAAATATTGTACCCGACCCGCTTCCTGACCGCATTTTTTAAAAGTAGTAAATGTGCTCATCGGAGCGTTATTGGGCCATAGACGTGTAACAACACAGCATCGCAAGAAGACGTACGCCTACACATAACAAAGGCAAAGGCAGCACTTTGGTCATCATCTTTCATTATTTCAGCAAATGTCTCCCACACTTTTACTCTTTCTATTTGTGTATTTGCGGAGCTTCCACTCCCCAGTCTTCACCTTTTCTCTTGCCGCCTCCATCTCTCTGCAGACTGTAGTGATCATCGTAGACATGGCCGGTTCGTGAACGAATCGTTCTTTTGAACCGGTCGAACCTACACTAAAACGAACTGAATCGTTCGAAACAGTTCGCGTCTTGCGTCAGTGCTGCTCCACAAGTTAGTTACTCACTTTCAGACATGCCTGACAGTCGCCTCCGAATCGAAATAAATCAATATCCTGAATTATATTTTACTCCAGTAACTCCAACAGTTCACTGAACCGAGACATGTGCCACTGTTGAGAGAAGTGATGAACACGAGCAGCTGATACAGCGGTTCTCGAGTATAGAACCGAGAACTGTTTAGACTGAGCTCGTGTGTTATCTTCGTGCCAGTTATTCAGCCAATAATGTTGTAATGGCAGTGGCACCCAATGTCCGTTTAATTCTTCTGTACCACCTTTTGAAGTCAGTCAAATTGTAACCAGTATTTGAAACACGAGCAAACCACGATCTTCTTTTTAAATGTTTACTTCTAAAACATAAAACAAAACTGTTACATGGTACGCACGGTCAAAAAACTGTGTTGCTTCCAACGTCTCTAACTTCAAACTAAAACACATCCAATCACTTGCGTTGTGACGTAGTGCGATCTGACTGGAAGCTCAAAATAATTAAATATAATCAGATCTAAACATTACTAAATATAGATTTTAAATCCAAAATAACTAAAATAATAATTCTTATAAATCTTCATGAAATATTTTCTTACTATTTTTACTAAATTATTATTTCAGATGAACTAATCCCTATGTGGCTCTTACATTACCCGGTCCCTAATTGGTTAGGCAGGAGGACTAAGCAATTATAAACTTAAACACTAAGAGCCAATCAATTTCTAAATGTCCATAAACTATCAACTTGTTTCTTCTTTCTTCACTCTTCTGACATCGCCTCTTCCAACAAGCACAGTTTATTTATAGGTCTTTCCAGAGTGTTGGTCTTGGTCTTAATCTTCACTCGTCGTACTGTTCCATTGGAATCAGGCAATGTTTCAACAACCTTTCCCATGAGCCAGGAATTCCGTGGGGAAGAACTATCCACTAGTAACACAACATCTCCTGTCATGAAGTTTCTTCTTGGCTTTAGC